ACTCTCAGCATGTATTTGAACTTCTCTCTTTTATTTACTTCAGCGCAGCTCAGTTTTTAACAAATTAACACTGGCATTACTGACACCATAAAAGACAACTTCTCTAATAAAACACCATACTTTTTCAAGAAGGTGGAGCTAATTAAAATGACCTAAACAGAAAGTGATTCCAGTTTCACTCGATGGCCAACCTGTTGAAACTGTGACAAATTTTAAATAACTCTGGTCGTTCCTGGACAGTCAGCTCAACTTTGCTGAAAACACTGACTATATCTTTAAGAACTGTTCTCAGAGACTCTACCTTTTAAGAAGACCCAGTGATCTTGAGGTTAACGTTTTAAATTGAGTTTTAACTTTTCATCTCCTCGGCTGGTTTGGTCACATGAGCTGCAGACTAACAGACAAACTTTTAAGAATAGTTTGAATGGCAGGTATAACAGCAGGTAAATGATGGTGAAACCAAAAACATCTCTGTCTCAACTGTTTGCTGAAAGAACCTGGAAGACGGAGGAATATTTCAGCAGGGAGCGTCCATCCTCTTTATTCATCAGTTTGACCCTCTGAGCTCATCAAGGCGTTTCTGTTTCCCTCTGGTACCTGAGAACATCGACTAGAAGTCATTTATTGATGGTACAATAATTATTCTTAAAACTAAATGATAACATTTACCTTAAGCATGCTAAGTGTTTTACTCAATGCATAAATTGTTGATATTGTGATTCTACAAATGTGTTTTATTTTATTGTTTTAGATTCGAAGGAAAATTTCCTCCATCACAGATTAAATAGTGTTTCTTTTTATTTTTTCCTATGTATAAGACTCTACCAACAAAAAAATCTCTCAGAATATAAATGTCACAGTAAAACCAATGATGTGAATTTTTACTTGCTTAACAACCCTGGTTGATTTGTGATTCTACTGTGACTAATTCATTTGTTTCTTATTGACTTTTGTTCAATTAAGTTTCTTATGTATGCATTATAAATAGTTATTATAGTTCATTATGTTGTTTTTCATGTCTCATTTTTTTATTCTTTCTATAAATGATGGAGATATATAAATATTATTCTTAATGTATAAAGATCTTGTTTATGTCATTTAATTAGCTCTACATCGTTAAGAAAATAAAACAGCATGGTGTCTTATTAGAGAATTTA